AGCGGTAAGGTCTGTAGGACAGGGAACCCAACAGTGGAAACTCCCCAGATGAGCTTGGGAACTCTCTACTTCCCAGTCTCCTGCTTGTTTATCTTTCTTTTGGGCCCATCCCAGCTGGGATTTGGTGTTTGTTTTAAAGACTCAGAGAGACAGCCATAGAAGTTAAGCTTGTGAGGCTGAAATCAAACAGACCGGGGGCTCAAACCCCAGCTCTATAGGCTATGGTCTCTAGCAGGTTACTTTTCCCATTTACAGAAATAGGGACTGGAAGACAAGCCATGTCATGGGCTGTTGTGAGTTATAAAGGAGAGGATGCTCAAAAGTCCTTGGCATCCTGTGTGGCTTAGGAAGTGCTCCAGCAATGGCTGTAACTCCTCCTCCTCCCCTCCCACAGTGTGATCTAGGGAAATCTTTGAGCCTCAGTTTTTCCTTTTGCATAACAGAGATCATGATACTCTTCTCCTGGAGCTATTGTGAACATTTTAACAAGAAAGGGATGTAAAAACATTTTGCGATTCTCAATTCTTACCTTCTCAGTTGGACTGTGCTGCTTAATTGGACCCCCACCCAACCATCACCCTGTTTCCTCTTAGTGCAACCTGGAGCAAACCACTTTAGCTCTGGGCCTCAGTTTCTTTTTCCGCCAATGGAGAGGACAATACTAACTGCACGGGGATATTGAGAAAGTTACATATACAGTAGTTCATGAAAATACATAACACTCTGCCCAGCACATAATAGATATCATTGTACACATCACAAATCAAGACTCAGGAAATATTAGCCATTATCATTAATAACACCAATGCTCAGTGCTGGCCTGGCACTGAGCAGGTACAGAGGAAAACTTGGAACTTTTCTCCTCATGGAGGGAAATGGAAAGGAAGGGCAGTAAAGAATCAACATTGAGCCTCCAGTAGAGGCTGGGGATGACACATGGACCATGTCATGCTGTCTTCACAATAGTCCTTGCAAGCATGGAATCATAAACCCCATTTTACAGATGGGGAAACCGAGGCCCACAAAAGGGCAGTTGACTATTTAAGAACCATACTAAGTGCTGGGGGTGGGCTTTGGAGCTGGGATTTGAAGAGATGTTGGGTTGACTCCAGGGCTTTCTGGTCTGGCTGTGAACCTACCTGTAGAGGTGGGGTGGGGTGGGGCTGGGCCCATGGTGATTCAGGTAAGAGTCAGCTCTGGATTTCCAAATAGTGGGTGGGATCCAGTCAGGGTGAGACCTCCCCAGGGGCATTCAGATCTAGGCCTTAGCTAAGGTGGGCAGGAGGGCATGTAATTGGTGTGGGGGGGTGGTTTGCAGAGAGAGAAACTTCATCTCTCGTTACTAGTGGGGTTTAGGGAAGGGGGTCCTTGCTGTCTTGGTTGGGAGGACCTTGGAGGCCTAGGGTGGAGCTGAACCTGTGGGACTGTCAGGAGTGCTGGCCAAAGAGCCCAGCAGGGAAACCGAGGCAGGCGCTGATACTTTTGGGAGTTGTCATGGAAGATCAGTGTTTTTTCCCCTGCATTTGATTACTCACACAGGTACTTATTCATGTCTTTCTTTTCCCCCATCCCTCCTTCCCTCTCCATTTCTTTCTCTTTCTTTCCTTTTTTTTTTTTTTGATGGTACAGGGGTTTGCTCTCAAAGCCATACTTTGAGCCTTTTGCTCAGGTTATTTTGGAGATATGTTTTTTGTTTTTTTTTAACCATGATATTTTATGCTTCCCACCTTTGCTGGGATGACAGGTGTGTGCTGCCATGCCCAGATTTTTTTCCATTGAGATGGGGCCTTGCATACATTTTCTGCCCAGGCTGGCCTCGAACCACCATCCTCCTGACCTCAGCCTCCCAAATTACTAGGATTATAGGCATGAACCACTGGTGTCTGGGTCTTTTTTTTTTTTTCTGGCAGTACTGGGGTTTGAACTCATGGCCTCATGCATGCTAGGCAGATGCTCTAACTCTTGAGCCATGCCTCCAGCTCCCCTCCTTTTGATTTTAGTTATCTTTTGGGTAAGGTCAGTCTCACATTTTTGCCTCGGACTGGCCTTGGACAATGATCCTCCTACCTATGGCCTCCCATGTAGCTGGGATTATAGGTGTGAGCTGCCGTGCCTGGATGTATTCATTAATTACTTTGTTGAAGCAATCATCATCACTGGACATTTTCTACTGCCAGATCCTATGCTTGGCCTTAAGGATACCAGAATGACCAAGAAGGAGGAGAGAGAGAGAGAGAGAGAGAGAGAGACTGCACGATCCAGCACTTCTGTGACCAGGGAATGCATAGGAGCTGCCTAGAGAGAGAAAGGGAAGCATGTCAGGGGACACTGGAGTGGACAGGTGGAAGCTTGTCATCCTGAGGACTAGCAAACCTCTCTACACATTCAAACTAGATTTTGGAGAAGAGGAGTAGGGAAAGGTGATCTTGTGCTGTGGTCTCTCTCCCAGCAAAGGCTAGTCTGGATCTCTCTTCTGTGGATCCAGCAGCATGCTGGATCCTTCCCTTGAGCTGAACCAAATCCAGACTCCACTGAGCCCAACTGGATGCCTGTGCCTGGGCATTATCTACAGTACCACATCAGAACCTAGGTGTCCTCCAAACCTCTCTTCCCCAAGCTTCAGTGCCAACTGGTCGGTGCACCCTAGTACTTGTGGTTGGTTTTGCTTTTATTTGGTGGTACTGGTGTTTGAACTCAGGGCCTCATGCTTGCTAGGCAGGCACTTTACCACTTGAGCCACCCCACCAGCCTAAGCCCTGGTACTTTTGCCACCATTTCTCTAATCTACCTCTTTCCCTACTCTACCCTCTTTGTCTGGTCCAGTTATTAGAGGGCTGCACTGGTATCTTGGGTGCTCTCTTGGCCTTTGGCCTCTCCTTCATTGACTCCATTTTCCATTGCACCCATTCTCTGTTGCATTCATCCTTCTCTGCACTCATCCTTCATTGGACTCATTCTTTGTTGCCTCCATCCTTCCTTGCTTCCATCCTCCATTGCACCCATTCTTCATTGCCTCCATCCTTCCTTGCTTCCACCCTGCCTTGCAACCATCCTTTGTTGCCTCCATTCTTCATTCTCTCTATCCTTTGTTGCCTCCATCCTCTATTGCACCCATTCTTTGTTGCATTCGTCCTTCTTTGCCTCCATCCTTCCTTGCCTCCATCTTCTATTGCCCCCATTCTCTGTTGCCTCCATCCTCCTTTGCATCCATTCGTTGTTGCCTCCATCCTTCATTGTCTCTATCCTTCATTGCACTCATCCTTTGTTGCATTCATCTTGAGCTCTGCAATATTGGTCACAGATCCTGGCCATAGTGAGGGCTCACTTGCTCCCTGCCAAAACTGAACCTATCCTCACAGATCACCTGATGCGACTGTCATATTGTTTAAATGGGAAGCAGATGTCTAGAGAGGCCCAGAGATTTGTTCAAGGTCACAGCGTGGAAGAAGTGAGCCTTGAACTAGTTCTCCTGATTTCTAGGCTAAGTTATTCCCACTAATGCCAGGGCCTGCACAAGTTGTTTTGTTTTGAGTGCAGGTAGAAGACTTGAGCGAGGTGCTGGCAAGAAATATAGGTGTGGTAACTCACTGGGCCCAGGCCCAAAGGGAGGATGGCCTGGGAGTGGAGGATGGAACCTCCTTCCAGCTCCCCTCTCCATTTTTCATCACCAGAAAGTCCCCTTTCATCTGGGCAACTGGACCCCCAAATCTCCACCTTGACCCCATCCCTTTTGCTGAAAATCCTGACTCATGTCTCCTTGCCCTGTGTGGGTAGTTACCAGAAGGCCTTGCATCTGGGATGGAGGGGAAGGTTGAAGTTGGTCTCAGCACCCTCAGGGCCCCAGTCCCTCCCTAGGTCTGCCCTGGCTTGCTCTGGCTCCTTAGGGCAGCTGGCTTTTGTCCCAGTGGAACATGGGAATAGCTTTGGGGAGAGGGAGGAGCACCCCAGCTGGTCTCACCTCTCCCACCTGGCATGGTTCCCATTCTGCACTCAGAGATGCCTGGGAACTGACACGAGGATCTCTGGGCCCTTCTGCCAGGCCTTGCCATTGAACACAATGGCATGGTGGCTGGGCATGCTGGAGAAACTGAAGGAGGAAACCATGGGTATGGGGACCAGGAGACTGTGTGATCTTGGTCTTATCCCTTGTCCCTTCTAGGCTCAACTTCTCCAGCTCTGAAAAAGAAGAACAAGATCCCTAGATTCTGTGAATTTGGCAAGCAGATATGAGTTCAGTTAGACTGTCACACCTGGAAGCCCTGGAATCTGAGTTAGGAGATCTCTGGGGAAAAAATGCCCTAATAACTGAACACCTACTGTATGCAAGATTACGTCTGTTGCCTTATTAAATATTCCCAAAACCTTCTGGGATGGTTTTTGCTATGTCCATTTTATAGATGAAAATACTGAGGACCAGAGAGGATAAGTACCTTGTCCAATGTGACACAGCTGGTAGGCTGTCGAGCCTGGGTTTGATCTCAGGTCTGCTGGATTTGAACTGTTTTTCTTCATTTCTGGCAGAGAGAATGGTTCAGATGACAGAGTCCAGTCCACTGGGCAAAGTGAGTCCTCCATGTTGGACCTGCCTGTGGTAGTGAATTTCCCATGCAGGAAACCGTGTAGACCAGGCTCTGTTTCTTGCCCCCCCCCCTTTTTCTCTCTGCGTTGCAGGGTGTGGTCCAGATTAGCTGTTTCTAGCTTCAGTTCTGTCCCCAAACCCTGTTGTCCTCAACTTTGCACAACTCTGAGCCTCAGTTTCCTATCTACCAAATGGAAGCATTTCTGACCCTGCAGGATTTTAAAAGGTCAGTTGCCTCAAGGGTCTCAGGGGGAAAACAGTCTTGGTGGCCATCATGCAATAATTAATAAAATGTCTAGGCTGGGGCGGGAGTAGAGGAAGTAAGCGGGCGGCGGCGGCGAGGTGACAGCTGGAGGGAGGGGCGGGGGGTGGAGCCGTGGGATGGGTGGGGAGGGGGAGGCGGAGGGGCGGGCCAGAGCTCCCGGGCAGTGCTAGAGACTCACTCACACCCGCGGAGCAGGCAATCTGCGTCCACACCGGTCAGCCGCCAGCGCCATGACCCGTGAGTCCAAACCCGATGGCCCGGTGAGCCCAGAAATCCTCGTGTCCTCTTGGCGGAGCCTTGAATGCCAGGCTCAGCCCCTCCTCTCTTCTTAGCAGGGAGGAGTCTCTCGTTCCGGTTCCCGCTGCTCCTGCTCCTGCTGCCACCTTTCCCGGTCCTGCCCGCAGACTCTGGGGCGTCCGCACCGGGTAGGCGGCCTCCTCCGTGTCCACGGGGACCCCGGATCCTGTGCCGCTGGCCTGGCCCAACTCCCTCCTGTCCCCTCCAGCGGGAACAGCTTCCTCTTTCTGCCCGCGGTGCCTGGGAGAAAAGAGGGGGACCAAGTCTGTAGGTGGGATAGGAGGGTTCTCTGAAGACCACCCCGGTGTGGTCGTGCATAGAGGGCTGTCAGGTTCCTTTCTGGGGAAAGGCAGACTGGGATCTGCCAGTCATGGGGGAGCAGGAACAGCTCTCCAGCCTCTCACCTGTTCAGGGCCCCTTGCTCTCCAGGCAGCCTCCACCCCCAATAACCCCGAGGTTTCCTGTGGGAGCTTCTTTGGGAGGAAGTGGCAGGCGCTGGGGGGAAATGGCTGGCCAATGAGTTCCCTTTCTTCAGCCTCTTATTTTCTAGGGACCCATCCTGATCCCCAACCTTAGTGCAAAAAGTTTCCCCTGCTGAAGACCCCGGGACACCAGCCATTCTAGGAAGAAGGAACGTGGAAATATATTTACAGAGCCGTACTACTTTTCCTGGGGTTTAATCCCCACCTGTGAGGTCTCTACTGAGCAGTTGAGAAAACTGAGGCTAAGTAGGTGCAATGACACCCCAAACTCACACAGTGCATGTGGGCTTATGATTTGAACTGAAGTCAACCTGACTTAAAATACTTTGCCAAGTCTTTCCACAGAAGGCTCCCCTTACCCCCAATTGCCCTGAACCCCTTTGAGTTTCAGGTTGCTAGCATGACCAGGAAAGTCAGGTCCCTCCCTCCACCTTGCATGTACCAGGTTCCAGGAAGGAATTCATTCCTCACCCAGCCAACCTTTCTCCCCAGCTTATTGCCTGGGCATAGCTTCCATCACCACTTAGTGGTGTGGCCCAGGTTTCTCCTAATCCTCATTTCCCATCTGTAAAATAGGGCCAAGAAAGAATGGGAGAAGGACGGGGAAGTCTGCATTTTCTGCTGGATGCCCTGAGGACTTGGTGCTCAGAGGAAAGGAGAATCGTATCTATATGGGCTGTGAATCAAACCAGGTTTCCTGGAAGAGAGAGGGTTTGAGTGTGGGGAATTTGAGGGAAGGTTTTGGGTTTAGCAAAAGCCTGGTTTATGGGAAGAGGAGGAGGAATATTTATGTGTTTCACACTTAATAGTTTCCAGAGGTCCATGGTAGGCATCTACCTAAGTGCTTGCAATGGCTCTTTCTGCCAGGGAAGTGTTAGACTTGCTCTACAGAAGAGGACTTTGAGACCCAGAGGGAATGAGTTTGTCTGAGACCCCACAGTGAGCTGGTGGCAGAGTGGCAGCCTCAGTGAACTATTTTAGTCAGTTCCCAAATGAGTACAGCATTCCTCTGAGGCCCCATCCAGCCACTTCCAGGCTCCTGGGTAAGCAGGGCCCATCCCATTTGTCTTCCTTTGTTGCTTGTGCCTTTCTTGTGGGGAAGGAACAGCTTGGAGGAACAGACTGCCAACAGCTCCTTAGCGCTCAAGTACATCTCTACCAGCCCCTGGGTTTGGCTTGGCATCCTCTCCCTATCTAGGGATAGGGCATGACCTAGTGACCTGAGCCACATTGGTTTTTTTTGTCTTTTCTACTTACTTTTATATCCCAAGTGTTTAAACTGATTTTTTTCTACATTCCAAGGACTTGTTTTATGCCAGCCTTTGGAGGAATTCATAGTCTGATAGTAGAGACAAATGCCAATAGATCATCATCCAAGGGGATGAGGACCATGGCTGAGGGAAACACAGAGGTGTGTGGAGCTCAGGAAGACAGCAACCTCTCAGTGTGAGAAACTGAAGTGTTGACATTTCGACTGGACCTTGAAGGAGATATGGAGTGGGGGAAGGGAGAAACATTGAGACTTTACAATGGAGTGCTATAAAGGTCTTTCTGATAGGGAAATAGTAGCCTGAGCTGAGATGTGAAGGTCTGAGCAGTGAGAGGCTGACTGAAACCTAGGGAGTATTAGGGCATGAGGCGGCTGCTGGAGAGGCTGCTGGAGAAGCAGGGACTTTGAATGCAGGGTGAGGGTTTGGGATATGGGCCAAAAGTCACTGGGATCAGAGAATGGGCATGGAAGGATGGCTTGGGAGAGATAATGGGGACTGGGAAACTGGTCAGAAGTCTTCTGCAAGGAAAGGTGGGTGTAGGAGTAGAAGATGTGGACTGCATTTGGACTTCCAGGTCTGTCAGTAAACTGAGGCGCAAGCTGCCTCAGAAGTCACAGCCAGAGTGGCTTTCTCCTCAAAGAAACTGAGGAGACATGGGCTGCAGACTCAACTGAGGGCGGGCAGCAGGAAGGGAAGGTTGCTTCTGCCTCATGTCGGAGTGGAGATGGAGTCTAGCTTAGAGAGCCATGCTGTTAGGGGTGAGAATGGACGGGCTATGCAATGCTCACATCACTTCCTCCAGCCTCTGGGTTTGGCTCAGTGTCTGGCTCAGTGTCCTCTGGGGACTGGAACTGAGTGCCAAAAGAAGTTGCCTGAGGCCTTCTGACTCGGCACGTGTGGCAGGAATGAGTCTGTGCCAAACCCTTCCTTTGCCTGCCACCCACTGCCTCCTATCTCCAGCCCCAGCTGGATTCATGGGCCCTGAGAGGAATTTCCTCTCCCGCTGGACTCCTCTAGTTTCTGGGCTGCTTTATGGGCCTGGCCTGGTGGTGCCTGTCCTGGAGCTGCCCGTAGGTTTGGTTTCAGGGCTGGGGTCCAGGCCTAGCTACGCAAGCCCATTTTCCTCTTTGGCTGCCAGGCCTCTGGAGGTTCTCTAAATATTATTATTAGGGGATTTGGGTGCAGCCTCCTCTCTTCTGCCTGCCGCCTTCACATCCTGGAGGACTTGGTGTTCACCCACTGTGCCTGTCTTCTGTCACGCTCAGCCCTGAACCTGGAGCCCCAACTCTTGGGCCGGTGATGTTTTCTTTCCCAAATTTTTGGAAAGATTCCAGGACCAGGGGGTCCTGGACAGTGGTTGTCTGTGGGAACATGGACTAGCTGCTTGGATTTCAGGTCTCTGTATTTCGCAGGCAGTGTGAGTGTTAATCACCCTGCTTGGGGGACGGAAACATTCAGTAAGAGCAAGTTGTAGTCACCTCTGCTGACTGGCAGGGGTAATCTCACTGATGGAGTAACAGAGGAGATAGATTGACTCCACCTAGAGTAAAGAAGAAGGGGTAGGACATCAGATGGAAGGAGCTGAAAAGCCTCCTTTGAGCTGCCCACTCCATTCCCTCAGTGGGACAGATGGGAAAACAAGGCTCCAGGGTTGGAAAGGACATTGTCAATGACACACACCCAGTGAGAGCAGTCATTTTGGAATTCATTTTTCTACATACTTGATTCTTGGTCCAGGCTGAAGTGAATTAGACCCAGTACCTGCACCTCTCTTTCTTGGTGACTCATTAGTCCATCAAGAAAGATGGGTGATCTCAGTGGAGGGGTGTCTTCTGCTGAGCAAAGAACTGGGTTGGCATGAACGCATGCAGGATTGAAGTGAGAATGAAGAAGGCCTTCCTGTATGAATAGGTCTTAGATGTCTGGTCGTGGCAGGATGTGGTGATTTCTGGGTCCTTGTTTCATTCATTGAGGATCTTCAAGGTTTACCTTGTAGGAACAATGACAAAGCTACCTCTCTGGGAGTCATTCCCAGCCTTTGGATGAATGTGTCTGCCTTTTCCATCCCTCTCCCAAATCCAGGCCTGGGTACCTAAAGGAAAAAGAAGGTAGGGGTAGAGAAAGTGTTCAAGGCTTGGTTCTGCAGCCGCCAAACTGTGGGGCTTGTGCAGGTCTCCTGCCTGAGGAATCTGAGGAGGAACTTGAGCTCCTCATTGTGCAATGGGAGGTTCATCTACCCCTCCTAGGGAGTGCTGGAAGGTAAATGGGAGGTGGGGGGTGTGAGGTCATGGACTTGGTCAGCTACAGCCTTACTTCCCCAGTCAGGCTTTCACAGTGCAGCTGTGGTCAAGCAGCACCCAGTCTCCTTTCCACCCACCCTGACACCCTGGGTCTCTGGTGTCAGCTGCTGTCCTTGCCCAGGGGCAACTGGTATTTATGGAAAGAGCCTGGGGGAGGAAGGAGGTAGAGAAGGCTGGATGCAGTTGGGAAGGACTGAGAGGCCTCTCTTGGCAGGGGCAGGGTATGGGCAGCTTGTTGCTCTCTGTCACCTGGATAGACCTGGGAGGGTGGCTATAGCAGGAGGCCTTGCAACTAGCCTCAGAAGGAGAGCTTGGCGGATAAAGTCATCTCTCTTGTCAAGCTGGGAGTGTCCAGTTTCCTTACATCATTTTATTAATTCCAAAGACATTTGTTCAGCTCTAGGTCTTTCGAGGCCCTGGGTAGAGCCCGGGCTGTGTGCCCAACTGGTGTGGGGAGGAGAGCTTCAGGAAAGGTGTGGCCCCCTCCCTTGTAAGCCTGTGGCAGAGGCCAGTAAGGAGGAGGAATAATGGGAGGAGTTAAGTGGGGACTTAATAGGGAGTCTTGAGGGGCTGAACAGGGGCTCAGTGAGGAGGATCAAGTGGGAGGAGACTTATGAAGGAGCATCCCTGGGTGGGATGGAGGAGCATGTTGGGCTTTGGGGTTGAGGGAGGGGCTGCCTCAGCATGTTTGAGCTGTCAGGACCTCTTGCTTCCTCTGCTGCTGTAAGAATGTGTAACTAGGGCCCAGAGGAGGCATGGGCCTTCCTCCCTGTGACCCCTGAGTGTAAGGACTGAACCTCTGGTGCAAGAGGGTCTTCCCTGGACCAGGAGTGGGAACTGGGCCCCTGGCAGGTGAATTGGGATCAATGAGGAGAGGCCCAGCAGGGCTCAGGGGCCAGATCCCTGAGCAAGCTTGGAGGGCTGGTTCAGAGACTCCTTGGTCTTTCTGGAATTGTGGCCATGGGAGGGGAGGCTGGGGTCCTGTCTATCAGGTCTTCCTGTGGCAGCCTGATAAGGCCTTTTTATCCTTGGCCTTTGCCTCCTACACCCCTGCAAGGGCTACACAGATGTCATTGTGGGACTGTGGGAAGTTACCAGTACTTAAGCAAAACTATTTGCATGATCTTTTTCAACTTTTGCTTGTGTATGTGTGGGTGGTGGTGGCGGTGGAGGTTCCCAGTGGCAGGGCAGGAGGAAGCTATTGCCCAGTCCAAGCCTCTGCTGTGAAGTAAAGATATGAGACTAGAGGGGCCAGGCCTTGCCCAGTGTCATGCCCTCTGATGTCGGCACCCTGGATGAATGAATACTTCATTCTAGGCTGCTCCCGCCTCTTGCTACCCTCTTGACCCCCAGTCACCAGTTGCACAAAGAATAAGAGTTCCCCATAATACTGGCTCTGCGCCCAGTAAAAGAAGTATGTTTGCAGAAGGGATTTCCACATTTTCTGTGTACAGCCAGTGAAGGCGCCTCCTGGGTTGGCCCAGTTTTGCTTTGTGACGGAGCAAAGTCTCCACCTCTCCTTGAGCCTCAGTTTCCCTTGATAAGCAGGGAGGAGAACTTTGCAAGGTTGAGGGGGGTGGAGGTTGGACCTGAATATGCCCAGAGTCTAAGTCCCATTCAAAGAGTCATGGAGTCTATGAAAATTGAGCTGGTGGGTGATGGTCAGAGGGATGGGCGTAGCCACAGGAAGGGGCTTCCTTGTGGGAGTTTCTGCAGGAGATAAGAGCAGCTACAGAGCTCATGCACCCTCTTAGGAGATGTTTCCAGCTATATTGTTCCTGTTCCCTTGGTTCATACTTTCCTCAGGATCTTGTAACCTAGACACCACCATGAATTGGGCCAAGTCTTGGCCTCTCAAGTGGCTCAAGTGGGGGCCAAGGCAGCTGAGACCTTGGCGTCCCCCGTAACCTGCACTCTGTCCCCAGGGTTGTGGAAAACTTCTTTCCTTGGACTTGATTGTTGAGCATATGGGGGGTGCAGGGGGAATGAAGGGATGGGACGTTGGTGTGGTATGACTGTTTTCTGGTGACATGTCTGGCTTTCCCTTTTTCTGGTTTTAGTTTCCCCATCTGCATAATTGGCATTATGATACTTGTTCTTCCTTCCCTTCTGCAGAAATGGAAGGGAGGTGTCAGATCTCATTTTATTATTATCTAGGTGCTGGGAACTTGGGGGTTTGCCTGAGAGTACCCCCTTCCTCCATTCTTGTCCCCTTTCTGAGCCCCACAAACCCTGCCCTTGCTGTTGGGCTCTGACTAGGCAGGAAGTGATTGCTCCAGAAGCCTGTTGCTGCAGTGTCTAATCTAAGTGTCTTATTCTAGCCTCAGTGTCATAGCGTGGGTTCTGCACTCTTCCCCTGATGCGTTTTGATGGCAGTGGGAAAGGAGGGAGACTTCCCCTGAGAGCCCAATATGGGCTAGGCTGGAGGTCCAGAGTGGGGATTTATGCTTGTGGGAGCTGGGTGGGGAGGGCTCTGAAGTCCAGAGGGGAGGGGGTCACTCAGTGATTTAGGATAGAACTACAGCTTGAGTCCATGCCTCTGGCTCCTCCTTCCCCCATTAGGGGCTGGTAGGGGTCAGGAGGCCATCAAAGGAGGTGTTTGATGCCTGTTTCTCACCCACAGTGAACCCCTGCTGTTACTATCCATGCCAGAACCAGGGTGTCTGTGTTCGCTTCGGCCTTGACCACTACCAGTGTGACTGTACCCGAACGGGCTACTCTGGCCCCAACTGTACTATCCGTGAGCTGAGCCTTAAGTCCCTTCCCTTCTTTTCTGGGCCTTCCTGCTCCCCTCCTCCCAGGTCTCACCTAGCCCCTGCTCTTTCCTTACCTGGTTCTGAACCCTCCCTGACCTGGCTCCCATGTGAGCCCTTGGACCTGTCCACCCACACTCCTTGGCTGTAGTTCTGTGGTAATTCTTCACCACATTCCCTGTGGCTTGTCCTCACATCTGGTTCTGGCTCTGTCATGTGTCACCACTCACAAGACTCTATCCTTACCCTTGCCTCATTGGTGCTACCCTGTTCCCTACTGGCCTTCACCTCCCAGTCCCCATCTTCCCATCCTGCTAGTTCTGGTCCAGCCAGGAGGGCCTGACTAAGCAATTCTCATTGCCCCTACAGCTGAGCTCTGGACCTGGCTCCGGCATTCCTTGCGGCCCACCCCCACTTTCATCCACTCCCTGCTCACACATGGGCGCTGGTTCTGGGAGTTTGTCAATGCCACCTTCATCCGAGACATGCTTATGCGGCTGGTACTCACAGGTGAGTGTGGGTCAGAACTTCCCTAATCTGGGGAGCAAGGAATGCTGCCAGTTCTTGGGATTCTTGGTATATGATAAAGCCAGCGGGTGGGGAGGCTCTGTGGTACCAGATAAAACAAGCCCCAACTGAAGAGGAGGCAGAGAATGGGGACGTAACAGGAGGGGACAATCTTGTCACTGTTGTTTTTCTCTCTGCAGTGCGGTCTAATCTTATCCCCAGTCCTCCCACCTACAACTTAGCACATGACTATGTCAGCTGGGAGTCCTTCTCCAATGTGAGCTACTACACTCGAATTTTGCCCTCTGTGCCCAAAGACTGCCCCACGCCTATGGGGACCAAAGGTAATGAGGATGGGGTGAGGAACTGGCCGGGGGATCACAGGAAAAACTCAGTTCCCCTCTTTGGGCAAAAGTAGGCAGAAGAACAATTATTGACCCATTTCACAGATGGGTGGAGCAAGGCAAGATGGCTGCATGTCTAGAAGCAGGGATGAGGACAGGAATGGGCAGCAAAAGGTCTTGCCTGAGGTCATCAAGAAAGTCAGAGGCAGGCCTGGTGGTGTACACATGTAATCCTAGCACTCAGGAGGCTGAGGCAGGAAGATTGTGAGTTCAAGGCCAAAGTGGACTGCAAAGTTAGACCCTTTTTTCAAAAAACAAAGCAAAACACACAAAAACACGGAAGGAAGGAAGGAATAAAGAAAGAAAGAAAGAAAGGAAAAAAGTAGGAAAGAAGAAAAAGAAAGAGCCAGAAGCAGGCTAATGTTTCCATATTCCTGAGTGCCTCTCTGCCTGAACCTTGTCTACTGACGAGGGAGATTCTGCTGGATGGGGATGACTTCCAAGTTGAAATGGAAGACAGAAGGGAGGAATAATGTGCTGTGTATTGGTGCTAACTCTATGTTTTTTTGTTTTTGTTTTGACTACTATAAGTAGCTTTCCATGCTTCACCAGGGTGGGATTCAAAGATCACATATTTTTCTTCAGTTGCCTAAGACCTACTTGGCTTCATTGGCAAGGGTCTTCCTAATGCCCTCTTCTCACTCCACCCCTAATTGTCCAGAAATCTGAGGGGTTACTCAGTTCAGAGCTATCAATTTAGCTTCAAGAACAGAGAGAACAAGAGACTCATCAGTCCAACACTGCTGTGCTTCAGTTTCTGCCATTTGGTGTCGCTGTTGAACAAAGGTCCTGGGCAGCCCCAGGGTGGTGCTTTTGCAGATTCTGAACCTTGTACGTATATTGATGTCCCTATTGGGTTGCCAGGACACTACTCTGATGGTTTTCACTCACATAGCCATTATTCCCAGAGTGTGTTTAATTCCACCAGAATAGCTGTTTTTTTTTTCCCCAACACTACTAGAATCATTCTTGGTTCATGTCAATGAGTGATTGTACCCCAAATTATGGGGTACAGACTGCTCCCTCTAACTTTCTTTTCGATGAGTTTCCCTTGGGTGCTTGGTATCTCTTCTTGCCAGAGAAATATAGCTGGCAATTTCAATCCAAAGAGTTTCCTTTGACCTTGGGCCTCACATGAGGTTTGGAGAAGGATTGGTGAAGGAATGCCTTGAGCAGAACACAGAAAATCCTTTTGTTCCTTTCTCTGAGGGCATTGGGTGCCAACTGACACTGACATAAGGAAGGCCTCCCGACACTTACTCTTGTGACAGAGACCTACTTCCCTATGATTTGTTGTCTTTACCCTAGACACAGAAAGACTGGCATCTTTTAAAATAGTTTGGCAAACTACAGCCCACAGGCCAAGTACAGACCACTCTGTTTTTTATAAATAAAGTTTTCCTGGGACACAGTTGCATTCATTGTTCACATGCTGTCTATGCTGCTCTCCTGCTATAAAAGCAAAACTGAATATCTGTGACAGAGACCACATGGTTTGCAATACCTGACATATTCAATCTGGCTTTTTTACAAGACAAGTTTGCTGGCCCTTCTTTGAAAAGATACCATTTCACCAGCTCTCTGTCACATTCACACCCTCTCCTGCAATCCTCAAATCCACTGTATAAAACAGATATCATTCCCTATTTTACAGATGAGGAAACTGAGGCTCAGAGAGATGAGATGACTGATCTCTGTTCATGCAGTTAGCGAGCGGCGTTGCCAGTTGCTCTAGGGCAAGGAAGTCTGTGCTATTTAATTTTTTTTCTTTTTGATTAATTTTTTCATTGTGGAAAATGTACATAAAAATTGAAAGCATAATGAACCATGTATCCATGGCCCAGTTTCAACACTTGCCCATAATTTACTAATATTATTTCTTCTCTCCCCTCTCACTTAAAAAAAAAACTTTTAGTAGTGTATACTAATTGTACAAAGGTGTTTCGTTGCGATATCTCCATATATGCATATAATGTACTTAGATAAAATTCACCTCTTCTATTACTCTTTTTTACCCTCTCTCCCCCTTTAAAAACAATTTTAACAGACTTCATTATTCTATCTTCATATATGCATATGAAGTACTTTGATCATATTTACCCTCTTCACCCTGTCCTTTTACACCTCCCCAATGGATTCTACCTCCAAACATTTCCCCTGTTTTATAGTTGTGTTATTCTTTTTTTTTTAAGGTCTAGATTCTGCATATGTCCCCCACACTTTTTAATGGAGTATAATAGAACAAATTCCAAATGCCAAGCCATTTCACCCATAAAAGGTCTTTTTGGTAGAGAGAGTACAGGGGTTACCTGTGGGGCACGTGGTTCTGAGGAGAATGCTCTGGGATTACTGCTTGGGCCAGTTTGCCTGGTGAACCTGGAAGTCCCAAGGGCAGGAAGATCCAGGTGGCTGCTGCTCTTTCCTACCTCCCTAACTAGGGAAGAAACAACTGCCAGATGCCCAGCTTCTGGGTCGTCGCTTCCTGCTCAGGAGAAAGTTCATTCCTGACCCCCAAGGCACCAACCTCATGTTTGCCTTCTTTGCACAACACTTCACCCATCAGTTCTTCAAAACTTCTGGCAAAATGGGCCCTGGCTTCACCAAGGCCTTGGGCCATGGGGTGAGTACCTAGGAAGGGCTCAGGACTGTTTTGGACCTAACTTGGCATACAGAGGTCATTAGTAGTAGGGCAGAACCCTAGTGATGTGAGTGGGCCTCTCTCTGTCCTCAGGTAGATCTTGGTCACATTTATGGAGACAATCTGGAACGTCAGTACCACCTGCGCCTCTTTAAGGATGGGAAACTCAAATACCAGGTAGTGTTGGGACTAGGGGTGGGTTGGTGGGAAGGGCCTCCCATGTTTTCCCTGACAAAGGCTGCTGGGGTGGTTGGGGGCCTGGTCAGTCACAGGAGCAGGAAATCTGTGGCAGAAAGAGAGACAGTAAACACTGGGAGAAGGTGCCAGGCACAAGAAGCAAATGAAGGACCGAAGTGGCCTCCTATGGCCTCGTGGGAGGTGGGTTTGGAGCTTGATAGGAGATGAAAATTTGCAATCTGCTTTTATTCATTTAAATATTCCACAATATCGATGAAGTGCTAGGGTAGGATATGTCTTGTATGAGTGATGGAGCAATGACCATCAGTTAGGAGCCTTGCCCTGAATGAACCATAGTCCATCAGGGGCCATAGATATAAATGCTAGGATGTGAGTTCCAGCAGGACTTCTTGTCCATACTAGCACTGTCCAACAGAAATACAATGTAAGCCACCTCTGTAATTCAAATTTTCTAGTGGCCACATTAAAAAAGAAACAGGTGAATGGATTTTAATAATATATTTTAACTTGATGCAGTATATCCAGGATATTACCATTTTGACATGTAACCAATGTAAAAATTATTAATAAAAGATCTCACATTATTTTGTCACCCTAAATCTTTGAAATCTGATATATATTTATATTCATAAAACATTACAATTTGAATGCTAAGTTTTCCTTGGAGATATCTGATCTGCACTTAGATTTCATAAAATTTATAGCTGAATAAGTAGATTAAACAACATGCTCAAGTTGTTCTATATAGAAAGGTTTTCCAGTAGGTGATGTATCAGTTTTAGAATTTATATTTAAATCAGATAAAATCTAAATAAAATAAGTAAAATTCAGTTTTTCATACTAGCCAAATTTCTTGTGCTCAATAGCCACAAATGGCTTGTACAAATCACAACCAACAAAAAAACACAACGCCCAATGCTGAATTTTTAGGGCTAAGAACAGTCCTTGGCATATTGTAGTTCTTCTGTGTGTATTTAATGAATGAATGAATAAAGAATATGCTATATAGCTAGTAACTCTTGCAATAACTGCTACCAGTGAGAAGCTATGAGGGACACTATGTGTCCCCGGCTGGGAAGGTTTCCCTAGGAAGTTACAAATAAATAAAAGGTGCATGAGAAAAGAGAAGGAGCCAGGGAGGCCAAGAAGGGCTGAGGGCTTTCCAGGTAGAGGGTTGAGCAGGGGCAAAGGCTTGGAGGGAGGAAGCAGCTTTGGGACTTGGAGGGAGTGTAGAATGGGAGGGCTAGCTGGGCCTAGTGGTGGAGGGTAAAATAATTCCAGATGAGGGTGGAGACATCTGGAGGAGTCATGTTAAGCATTTCTGATTTCTGCCAAGAGCAGAGAGACTTGGAAGGGTTTCAAGCCAGTACGTGATACTAGATTGAATTTTTTTTATTTTTAAAAAGTGTTGCACTGGCTACTGTCTGGGGGCAAGAGTGGAGGTAGGGAGCCCACTTAGGAGAGGCGGCAGAGAGGAAGATGAGGGTGGGATGGACAAAGGCGATGGCGATGGAGGACTGATTTGAAGAGAGATTCAGGAGGAGGACAGGAAGCCAAGGTAGGAGCCTGCAAGAGTCAGCTGTGGCAGCTGCGGGTGCCTTGCCCCGCCCCCAGGTTGCCAGGCGGCCCCATCCCACAGGTGCTGAACGGAGAGGTGTACCCGCCATCAGTGGAAGAGGCGCCAGTGTTGATGCACTATCCAAAGGGCATCCCGCCCCAAAACCAGATGGCCGTGGGCCAGGAGGTGTTTGGGTTGCTTCCTGGGCTTATGCTCTACGCTACCATCTGGCTGCGGGAGCACAACCGCGTGTGCGACCTTCTGAAGACGGAGCACCCAACCTGGGATGATGAACAGCTCTTCCAGACTACCCGCCTCATCCTTATAGGTGAGGGTTCTGAGCCCGCCATGCCTAGGATGGCTACCTGAGCTGTGCTGAGAAGCAGGGGGTGGGGTTTGAATCCTCACTCTTGCTGTGATTATCTGGATGGTCTCCTCTACCTCTGCAGCTCTAAGTCTGTACTTTGTGGTGAATGATGGCTGTGAGGGTTTGCTGAGATGGTAAATGAGAAGGCACCTAGCACATAGTAGGCTTGCAGAAAATGGATGACTGTGATGATTGATTATAGCTGGGTGACTCACAGTACATTTGATTAGCCACCGACAAGTCTCAGTCTCCCTCTTGTACCGCACTCAGATGCACACTTGACACCCCACAGCACATTACAAGGTCAACTCTCAGTTGGCCAAGCCTTCAGGAATTCTGTTTCCTGCTTTGCATGTATCTGCCTTTCCGGAGTTTGGTAGTTTTTAGGTGACTCAGGGATAGGATATTTTTGTGTCCCCTATGGGGGCAAGTGTACAACCTAAAATGTCAGATGGTTTCCTGACTGTGAGGTTAGCCCTTGACATCCCTGTCCAGACCGTGTTCTCTGTGAGTCACCAGTAACCCCCCTTCCTTCACTTCTGGGCAACATGGGCATGGCTGGTCCCAATTACAGTGCCTAATCACTGAATCCTGGAGGAGTCACTGGGGATAAGAATAGCCCGAAGAGGGTGGAGGGGATGGGTCTGGTTCTCAGGTTCCAGCACTGTAGACTTTGACCAGAGAGGGCAAGTCTATGGTTGGAGGTTACCCAGCATAGGGGCTGGTGATGAAGATATAACTAAAGGCAGAGGACTCCTAGTGCACTGCATATCCAGAACTTCATTCAACTCCCTATAGCATTATGAACTGGATGTTATTACCCTTGTGAAAATTAAGATTTAGAATGATTAAGTGCATTTTCCAAGGTCTCTGAGCAGAGGGAGACGTGAACTAGATCTGTCTGTCTCCTAAGCTCATGTGTCTTCTACCCCATCATGATGGGGTCTCTTTCCTGAGTGAAGAGGGGTTGTAAGCCTCAGTCTGATCATTTGTGATATGGGGAGGGATTCACCCCTCATGCCTGCTTCTAGCCAACATGTGTCAACACTGCCCTACGATACCAGGCCTTATGCTGACAGTGTAGGTGTTTTTGGTGCCTACTCCTCACACAGCCTGGTGACATTGTTACACTGATATTAATATGATGCACATTTTATAGATAAAGAAAGTGAGCTTCAGAGAAACTTAGGAACTCAGCTTTAGCTCAGGAGCTACAAATGATGAAGCCAAGATTTGGACCCAGGTCTGCTGATTCCAAATTCTGCCACTCCAGGTTAATGTACTAAAAAGTTAACTTGTCTCATGGCTAACTGGCCAAAATATCAGTTTCCTTCTATTTTCATTTTATTATGCTATGTTCAATTTGCTGTGTAGGTAGCTGGTTCCTGAGGGAGCAGAGGAAGACTGTCTATTAGAATTCTGAAATATAAGTACACATAAGATGTGTATTTTTTCAAACATGCTTAGGGCTAGGCTTACTTTCTGCCCTCAGGTCCTTCTTTGGCTGCTGCAGCAGCTGTCAGAGTGTTCTTTTTGAGCTTGTCTCCTTTCTCCTCTTCCACGAGGGTTTCAGAGCCTCACTCAGTCAGCCCCCTACTTTTCTGTCTTTAGGGGTTTCTCTAGCCTCTTCTAATGGGCTGTAGGAGTTGGGCCACATTATGGTCTCAAGACCAGTTCTTGGATGTCCTGCTTAGCTGGGTCTAGGACCTCCCTTTGAAATTTGGGAATAGCTCTTGTCTGGGGACCTGAGTCAAACCTGAGACAGTTCTTTTTTCACATCCTGTTAAAGACCAAGAGAAAGTGGCCAAGTAAAATTAACACCAACAATAAGGAGACCTTTCATGAGCTGATCTGCTTTTCTCAAGCTGGGCATCTACATCACTTTGCTCTGCTGACCTCACTTCCAATCCTCCCGTTGGGCAGGGGAGACCATCAAGATTGTTATTGAGGAGTATGTGCAACAGTTGAGTGGCTACTTCCTGCAGCTCAAGTTTGACCCAGAACTGCTATTCAGAGCCCAGTTCCAATACCACAACCGCATTGCTATGGAGTTCAACCACCTCTACCACTGGCACCCGCTCATGCCTGACTCCTTCAAGGTGGGCTCTCAAGAGTACAACTATGAGCAGTTCTTGTTCAACACCTCCATGCTGGTGGATTATGGAGTAGAGGCGCTGGTGGATGCCTTCTCTCACCAGAATGCTGGCCGGGTAAGCCTTGGTAGAGCAAGGGTGAAGGTGGTGGGTGGGCTCTGGAATCCAGCAGATCTGGTTCAAATCCCAGTTTCCTTATTTGTAAGGTAGGTATAGTGTCACTTCTACAGGGTGGTTGTGAGCATTCCTTTATGAATTCTCTTGTTCATTTGACAATGCCAGACATTACTCCAAGTGCTAGGCATATAGTGATGAATAAAACTGTTTGCAAACTTGCTGTGTGTGAGGCACAGTGCTACTGCCTTTCTGATGTTATCAGAATTCTAAGACCATGCTAAGAGCCATAATCCAGAAAGCCCACAGTGTTCTAGGAATTCTCTGACTCAGAGTTGGGAGTTACCAGTAAGGAAGTGAAAACTTGAACAGAGATCAGAAGGATGAACATGGATTTCCCAGGGAAAGAGGTGGTATTATTAGTGGCAGAGGATGATTGTGCTCCAGATAGAGGGGACAGCATAAACAAAGGCATAGGGGTCAGAGGGCATGGTAACTCGAGAAACAGGAGAACATTTTAGTATGGTGAAATCCATGCAAGTGTTTGCAGAAAGTACTTATTGAATCAAGCCTCTCTTAAGACTGAATTGTGTCTCCCCCAAAATATGCAGAATTCCTAACCCCTAGCACCTCAGACTATAATTACATTTGGAAATAATGTCTTTAAAGAGACAATTAAAGCTAAATGAGGAAGTTAGGATAGGTTCTCATCCAATATGACTGGTGTCCTTGTAAGAAGAGATTATATGAAGATCTCATGAAGACATAGGGAGAAGGTAGCCACATAAAGTGAAGGAGAATGGTCTCAGAAGAAACCAATCCTGCTGACACCTTGATCTTGGACTGGACCCTACAGACTGAGAAAATAAGTTTCACTCAGTTTGTAGCACTTACTCATGGCAGACCTAGCAAATGAACACATCCTCTTTTCCTGTATTTCCTAACTATCTCCCTCTTAAATCTCTCCTCCAGACTTGGAAGCTCCCACCTCCTTTCTCCAATCTCTCTGGATCTCTCATTCCCATCTTCAACTCTCTACATCTCTTAATCCTTGTCTCTAAGCCCTGTTATGAAGCTATAGCAGTCAATAGGTCTTGATTTCCTTCTGGAATTTGACTGGAATTAGCATATGCTGTCACCAGGATATGCTGGCTGGTTTATAGCCTCTGTTCTCTGTGGAGACACACACGTGAACAGAAACAATGCCTATATGTGGGGTTGTATGGTTTTCTGAGCATTTTAAAGAAATGATTATGATGATTTGTGTGAAAGACCCCAGTGTTGAGCCTAGCACAAAGCAGAAAGGCAACAGAAGTGTCCTGACCCCCAGGACATTAAAAAGAGTGTGAGAAATGATACAGTAGGGCTTTCTCTGATAATTATCATGCACAGCTACCCTCTTGTGGGTTCCCATATGACTAACACTATGACAGCTGCTTTGCATCTTTTATCTTTTATTATACCACACTCATATCAGGTTGGGGACTCTTACCTTCCTCATTTTTGCATATGAGGAAACTGAAACCTAGCTCAAGTAACTGCTGCACAAGGTCCCTGTGTTTATTTGTATGACTTCCATAACAAAGTACCACAAACACAGTGGTACAACAGAAATGTGTTCATTCACTATTTTGGAGGCTAGAAGTCTGAAATCAAGGTATCAACAGGATTATGCTCCTTCTGAAGGTTCTAAGGAGAATCTGCTCTTTTCCTTTCTCTCTTAGTTACTGGTTGTGACTGACAGCCCTTGAAGTTCCTCGGCTTATGAGCACATCACTTCAATCTACACTGTCATTGTCATGTGGTGTTCTTCCTATGTCTTTAGTCTCTTCTTATAAGGGCACCACTTACTGGATTAGGCCCCAATTTACTTGAGATGAACTCATCTTAACTTGATTCCAATGGTGAATACTACTGTAGTCCTCCCTTGTCTCCAGTGAACACATTCTAAGATCCCTAGTGGATGGCTGAAACTGCAAATAGCACTGGACCCTATAGATTAGTTTCTTTCCTATATGTACATATCCATGAAAAATTCAATTTATAAATCATACAAGTAAGATTTACAGTGATAACTAGCAATAAAATTGAATAAATTGAATATTTATAACAATATTCTGTAATAAAAGTATGTGAATGTGGTCTTCACTTCCTGTGTCTCTCAAACTACTTTATTTGGTGGTGCTGGAGATTGAATTCAGGGCCTTATACATGCTAGGCAAGTGCTCTACCACTGAGCTACATCCACAGCTCAAAGTATCTTACTTACTGTACTCACTTTTCTTGTGATGATGTGAAATGAACAATTCCCATGTGATGGGATGAAGTGAGATGAATGACAGATATAGGATGTAGGGTTAGTTTACCATGTTCTAGGGTTACTAGAACATTAGCACTATGATATCGTGACAGTTGATCTGATAACCAGGACAGCTGTCAAGTGACTGACAGACAGGTATCTCGTACAGTGTGGATATGCTGGACAAAGGGATGAGTCACGTCCTGGGCAGGACTGAGTATGACTGCATTTGATTTCATAATGCTTCTAGAACAGCACACAATTTAAAATTTATGAATTGTTTATTTCTGGAATTTTCCATTAAATATCATTGGACCACAATTGACTGTGAGTAACTGAGATTGTGGAACACAAAGTCACCACTAAAGGGGGACAACTGTATTTCCAAATAGAGTCAAATTTGCAGGTGCTGCAAGTTAAGACTTCAGTGCACTTTTTTGAGGCCACAATACAACCCATAAACCACTGAAGCTTGTAAATGTTTGAACTGGGATTGGCACCAGCCTCTGTTTGCTTTGTTCCAAGTTGTTTTGCTCCAAGTCATATTCCATTCAACAATGCCTTTCTTTCCTGTCCAATTATACTTGTTCTATTGAAACAGAGCTCCCTTTTAAGCATTAACATATCATTTCATCATGGGAAATAGGGCTTTCTTAAGACCAATGCTCCTTATTTGTTATGAGTCAGAATCTTTCTCTGGAGCCTTCCTTTCCTCACCAGGATATTTAGGCTTTGAGCCATTTTCCCTCCCTTCACCAGGGATTGTACCACCTATTGGTGTGACTCAAAGGATTGAGGAACAGTATAGCTTTGAGCTCCTCTTGGCCCACTCTTCACTTCCACTTCAAGGAGCTGAGACTCTGAGGTGTCCCTGAGACAGCAGGATGTGGCAGACCTAAAGCCAGACCCCCAGCAACATGGCTGCTAGGCTGTGCCATGCTCTCTGTTCTGGCCCAGAAAGGACTCATGACTTGAAGTTCTTTTCCAAGGACTTTACACAGGCTCTAAGATAGCTTAGCCTGGTTCTAAGACCAAGAGTTGTGCTTATCTCTTGGCAGATTGGTGGGGGTAGGAATATGGACCACCACGTTCTGCACGTGGCTGTGGATGTCATCAAGGAGTCTCGAGAGATGCGGCTACAGCCCTTCAATGAGTACCGCAAGAGGTTTGGCATGAAGCCCTACACATCTTTCCAGGAGCTCACAGGTGAGCAGCTGTTTCCTGGACACAGTCCCTGCTCTTGAGTGATTCACAGTAAAGTGAGGGAGGTAACAAGGAAATGAAGTGGGACAATACACATGGTGAGCATTGTAAATGTGGTGGTGAGTATGGCAAATAGCCCACTTGGGAAGAGAAGGTGACTTTTCAGCTGGGTTTGAAGGACAAATAGGAGTTTTTCAGTTGGAGAATAAAGAGAGGAGCATTTTAGGTAGGGCAAGATTAAGTACAAAGGCAAGGAGTTCATAAAGTAGATACCCATTTGGAAGAACCATTGTAGACATATGGCTAGAGTAAAGGGCTTACGTTGGGGGTTGCTGGTTAAAGAAGGGAAGTTGGTGTCAAACTGTAGGATCATGGATTCCATGCTAAAGATTTTGGGTTTTATTCTGACTAATGGATCCTAAATGCTCATTTATGGACAAGCAACATATAAATCACTTAGAATATTGATTAAAATACCAAATCTGTCTGAGGGTGTAGCTTAGTGGTAGTGTACTTAGTATGTGCAAGTCTCTGGCTTCAGTCCCCTCTACCAACAAAACAAAACAAAACCCCAGGCCAACCCAGACCAAAACAAAATCCCCCAAATCTCAGACACCTTTCCCAGAGAATTTGATTCAATAGGCCTGTGTGGTATTCAAGAATCTGTAACCCTCCAAACACACACAGGACCTCAGATGTTGGGCTGTCAAGCTGGAACCCTTGTCATAGATAATAAAGAGTCACTGAAACAAGACGTGACATGACCACTGTAAAGTGACCTGTGGGGGATGGGTTTGAGGAAACAGGTAGGGCAGCTCCCCTTGGTCACTTTCTAAACATGTGGGTCTCACAGAGTGGAACAGATCTGGGATCAGTAGATGAGGTCCCCATGATTCTAGGACAGTAATCTTTTTCACTCTTTAATCTCTCATAATAAGTGGTCCAGAAGGATGGAAATAAGACTGTCATTCTATGTCTGTTAAACTCAGAAATGTTATATTACATCCTTAAACTCTAGTATAAAAATAGGGCTTGGATCAAGATTAGGTCTTGAAATCTGCCTGTGAAGGAATCAAGATAGGCAGCCTCCTACCTATTGTAATGACCAGAGAAGTGGATGAGTTGGTCAAGGCCACAGGCTGTTTATTGGCAGTTCTAGGCTCCTGGACTCTTTCTCAAATAGCACAATTCTATCCCTAGACTCGGTCCAAAGTGAGAGTTGATTTGTGCTTTCCGTCTTTGTGCATTTTGGTCAGCAATACCAAATTTTAGGGCATTTGCCCAGTTGCTCAAACTGTTCTTCTGGAATTTCCTATTTTCCCCAGATAAAGGTGGACCTAGAAATTTCACTCCTCAGATTGACCTTACTGATACCATGGATCTGACTATAGCTTCTCCCCCTTGTAGGAGAGAAGGAGATGGCAGCTGAGTTGGAGGAGTTATATGGAGACATTGATGCCTTGGAGTTCTACCCAGGACTGCTTCTCGAAAAGTGCCTGCCCAACTCCATCTTCGGGGAGAGTATGATAGAGATTGGAGCTCCCTTTTCCCTCAAGGGTCTCCTAGGGAATCCTATCTGTTCTCCCGAGTACTGGAAACCAAGCACATTTGGTGGTGAGATGGGCTTCAACATTGTTAACACAGCCACGCTGAAGAAGCTCGTTTGTCTCAACACGAAGACCTGTCCCTATGTTTCCTTCCGTGTGCCAAACTTCAGTCCGGATGATGGGCCTGCTGTAGAGCGACCATCCACGGAACTCTGAATGGGGAAGAAAGCAACATTCTGGAGGGTTGGGCTTTGTGCATGTCATTCCAGAATGTTGAGGTTGGGGTTCATAGTCTTAATTGTTGGCCTTGTGATTTGGCATTGTGAGGGTTAGGGTTGCCATTTAGAACTTTGGGTGTCACCCCTTATATGGAATATTGTGATTTTTGCCATTCTATAATGCTAAATTCCCTGTTAATGCTTCAGAATGTTAGGAGTGGTTTTCATATGGGCTACCAAAACTCTGGGCTCCTGCTTGATAACCTAGAACATCAGATTTCTGGTTGATTTGGAATATAGGCATTCTAGAATATAGAGTGACTGACACAATCTTCTAGAAAGTCAGAGGGTTCTTATTTTTGTGTTATAAAATCTGTGTGGCCATCTAGAATGTTGACTGTCTATTTAGTGATTCAGAATGTTCCGATCCTGGTTGATGATCTAAAACAGGCTGGATCAGTCCCGACCTAATGTTGATTGTCATATTTTTCTGTTTGGTCAGATAAACATAGAACAGAAAGACTTAATGTCCAACAAGACTGCATTGCCTGAAGCTGTGCCTGCACTGAGGGGTCAAGGAAGTGGGACATTCTCCTTGGGACACTCCCTTCCTCTTAGACCTTAGTCCAAGAATGTAGAAAGAATAGGTGGGCTTTCCCATGCTATTGGTTAGAAGCCACTAGAGCTCTGTCCTCATCCAGGTCTTGACTTGTGGCAGTTGTTTCTTATGAAGTTAATAAAATTCTCTTTCCAAAGTTACTTGCTACCTATCTGTTTTGGTCTCATCCCCAAATACAGAGGCCATACCTAAGTGGCTATCTCCTAGCCACCAGCCAGATGTGACAGAGACTCAGCATGAGACTTTTTGTGGGAATCCCTGGGGCCCGTCCTTGTGAACACGTTTTACCTGTGATGCTTCATTTATCCCGTGGGTCAGCCATTTTCAGGCTGCTTTCCTAAAATACCCAACTCTTCAGCCCTGGAGATATAGCATTCAGTTCCCACCAGCTGTTTAAAACAACATCCTCTCTTATAGAGCAAACAACAGATATGATGGAGACCTGAGAAGGACAACACTATTGGTGCCAACTTTGCACACTTAATTCTTATTTATTTTTGTACCAACAGCATGAAATAGGTGGTATAATTCCCATTTCAAAACAAAGGAAACTGAGCCTCAGAGTGGTCATATGATATGCCTGCCTCACAGGTGCTAGAGCGAGGCTTGGAACACAGCTTTGGCTGAGTCTAGAGCTTGTGCCACACAAATCCTTGTACCCAGCAAAGAGAGAGGCAAGGAGAGAGAGCTAGGGTGAGAGGTTGAGAAAAGGTCATTGTGTGCCATGCTTTGGACTTAACATTCCTCAGGAAGAACTATGGCTAAGAAACAACAGGGGACTTGGGATTCAGGCTGTAAGACCTACTGTCTTACAGTCCAGGAAGTCCTTGCTTCTCCTTAGTTGGTTAGGGGCTGCTCCCATCATTCCTTCCTGGCTCTGTTGGCTACAGAGAATGCAACCTTCCTGGCTCCCCCAGAATAGGATCCTCCAATGTTTAAGGATCCTTTGGATGCTGAACATGGGCACAGAGTGGTCGTGTCTTGTCCTTGTTTGCCCAGTGTCTATTTCCCCTCTTTGAATAACCTCTTCTTTGCCAATTTCTTGTCCTCTCTTATTAATTTTAGTCTGGACGGTTCTTGAAAAGTATATCCTGGCCAAGGAGTGGGGCTATGAATTGATCCTGGAATCAGATACAGTGCCCTTTAAAATTGGCCCTTGAGTGACATTCCATGGAGCTTGAGATGCCTGACTCTGATTTGTCCCCACAGTTGGGCTCTGAAAAAATCATCTATTACTTCCTGCTTCTTAGATCCCCAGGGCAGTCTGGATTCTTGTCATTCCTGGGACTTTAATATTTCCTTTAACTCTGTGGTCTATTCTAGGAGTCCTTCTTTTGCTTACCTCAGAGTAGGTATCTTTGCTTGTAACCAAATCTTAATGGCTGCAGGTCTGAGGGGACAGACTATAATGGCTTTGGGGAGGCTGTTAATCAAGGAAGATACAACCTAGTGTTTTGGAAAGTCTCTGGTGAGGTGGGTGACAGAATACCGCAATTGGTGTTCATGGTGCAACCAAGAGACCATAACAGCTGGATTTGGGTAAAGGGCTGTGGCAATGGTAGATGTGATGAGTTCCAAGGAGAATTCCTCTCTTGAATGCAGATGCCTAGATTAGGTGGAATTTGCTTAGTATGGGACAATTGTGCATGGGAGTTTTGCAAATGGAAACATGTCAAATGCTCCAAGGAGGTTTCATCAAAGTGAAGGGTCTTCATGTTCATACTTTGAGCACTTGTTCCTGGAGTTTTGGTTTGGTGGATATGATAGTTTTATGTGTCAATTTGGCTGGACTGCAGGGTTCAGTTATTTAATCAAATGCTAATCTATGTGTGGCCATGAAGCTATTTTCTATATATGGTTAATTGTAGATGGTTAGCATCTACAATTAATTGACTTTAACAAAGATTGGCTCTTGATAAGTGAGTGGGCTTTATCCAATCAATTGAAAGGCCTTAAGAACACAGCCTGAGGTTTTCTGGAAAAAAAATTCTACTTCCTGAACGCAGCATCAACTCCTGGGTTTTTAGCTTGCTGGCTGCTCTGTGGTTTTCAGGCTTGCCAATCCCAACAATGATGTGAACCAGTTCTGAACAATAAAGACATGGATGGATATATATCTCCCCTTATACTCTATTGGTTCTGTTTCTCTGGAGAGCCCTGACTGATAACACTGGGTGACTTATTTAGGACTCTCAGTGCAAAAAACAGAACTTTCCCTAGCCCTGTTAAGCAAGAAGGGACTTATTATAGGACACTGCAGAGTTCTGCAGAGGGACCATTGGGAGGACCAGAGAACCAGGCTAAGAGTCTGCTTGCCTAGGAAGAGCAGCCACTGGTCCTGAGAAGATGCCTTTGCTACTGCCACAGGATGTAGGCATCTCAAATTGCACCTTTAATGCCAAGACTCCTCTACTACTGCCCTGAAAGCTGGCAGCTTCAATAGCTATATAACCTTGCCTAAAAATGGATTCACATTGTGACTGCTTCTCACTTTCCTGTACTTAGGGAAGTCATGTTTACTTGATTGGTGAAGCCTTGCTCATACATATGTACTCCAGATGTATTCCTTTCCAATAGAGTGTGAGCAAGTAGATTTTCTGGCTTGGATATTGGAGAGGAGGGACTCTCCTCCATCTATGTATGGGGGAAATCCCATACATTGGCAAAGGTGTCCAAAGGGCTGGAAATATGAAAAGTCTGCCTCTGTGGGCCAGAGACTTCCTAGCTCTGTTTTGCCTTTGTGGGTCCTATCCTTAGATTACTACAAAGGCTGCCAAAATGATCCCACAGTCACCCTGGTAGCAGCTCAATCCAGTTGTAAGCAAAAGATTTAGGAAGTGAAATTGTGCAGGTATAAGACAGCAGAGAAAGTACACATACTCCATCTTTTAATAATGTTTGAGAGAAAAGTGTCAAATTGTCAGACATGCTTATAAATCACCTTTCTACTCAATCATGATTTTCCTTTAAAAAATGGGCTCAATTAAAACAACTATGTGTGAATGGTAGTAAGAAAAACTAGAACTTAAAATACTCCTTTAAGGAGCACTAGTAAGGGAATAACAATGAGGCACTTCCCTCACTATCTTCTCACTACCCATTCTTGATTCATTTAAAGTTGGTTCTCTCCACCCTCAGCCTTGGTCAAGTATTTCCTTTGCTCTCAATCTTTATACTTTTAGTCAAAAGGAGGTCTGAGCTATTTACACAATTGCAGGCTTTGTATTTTAGGGTTTAGGGCAATGTGGCAGTACATTTTTGCAGACTACTGAGGCAGGTCCTCTCAACTCCCACCCCCCATTGAAGTATAACACTTAGTAAAGAACACTTACATACATACTTTGATGAATTTTTACATATCCATGAACTCAAGTAACCACCAAAGAAATCAAGATATAGAACATTTCCAGGATATCAGAAGTCTCTTTTAAGTTTCTTCCTGGTCAAAAGCTCCTGAAAGGTAACCACTATTCTGTCTTTTGTCACCATTGATTAGTTTTGTCTATTCATGAATTTAATTTGAATACAATCATTAATTATGTTCTTCTTTGTGTCTGGCCTCTTTTGCTCATCATATTATCTGTTTACATCCATGCTGCTGCTGTGTCAGTAGTTTTATTAGTTTTTTATTGCTGTGTAAGTATTTAACGCATACACACCCAGTCTGCCATTGATGGTTATTTAGCTTGTTTCCCATTTTTTTACTATTGTACATAAAGCTGCCTATCTAAAATGTCATATTCTGCACACATTTATTATGCAAAATGGATCCTGTTTTCTATTCAAAATTCACTTCTATATCTTACTTTATGGCCTGATGGAAAGAGAAAATGGATTCCTGAGTGCACATGCACCATTGGAGAGGGGGAAAGAGGCTGTATATTTGTTAGATGCCTATTTCCTTAACTCTTCCTAAAAGCTTGATGAGTAGGTTTTTCCCATATATATCTTCCTTTATAAAGAAGGAAATTGAGACATGGAAAAACTAGGCAGCTTGTCCAGAAGTGGTGGGAGGCAACAGTGAATTCCAAAGTGTGCCCTCACCCACTTCATCCAGAACCAGAATCATGGTAGAGACGGGGGAATGGAGGATGCAGTAGGGTGATAGACTATGGCAATGTTGGCACACTTCCAGATGATTCTATCTTTCATGTCTATCCTGAGGATATCCAGGGATGAGTAATGTTTTCTTTCCTCTCTCCATGACTCACTTTTTCCAGGCTTGTTATCTTCTTTCTGATCTGTGACTTGCACTCTGTAGGCCATGATGACGTTTGCTAAACATAGCTGGCTCCTTGAAGCCTGAAAAGTGGCACCATTTATCTCCCAGTTTCCTTGCTCTCCATCTTCTCCACTGGCCACAATTGGTGATGACCACCACAGCTTTGCCCTCCTCAACCTTTGTAATACTCAAGTGCCTGCTCTTGTCTTGGTTTTCAGTTCTTGCCTCCATGGGAAGGACTCATTCAGATCCTGGTTTCTTCCTCATCCCCAGTCCTCCATGGGGCCAAGGGGGTATGGCAATTCTTTTTCTTTTATTATGATAAAGTACATCTAATATAAAATTGCCAATTTTAATCTTTTTTTTGGCTGTTCTGGGGATCGAACCCAAGTCCTCACACATGCTAGGCAAGTGCACTACTATTGAGCCCCAAATCTCATTTTAATCCTTTTAAAGTGTACAATTGAGTGGCATTTACTACATTTACTACAACCTTGTGAATGTCACAAGGTTGGGTGATCATCACCAATATCTAATTCCAGAACATTTTTGTCATTCCACAAGGAAGCTCATACCCACTAAGTATTCACTCCTCATTTTCTACTGCCCCAGTCCCTGGCAACCATTAGTCTTCTTTCTGTCTGACGGTGTTTTGAGCATTCACCACATGCTACGCACACATTGTGTTAATCTCATTGTATATACACCACACTAATTCTCATGAAAACAGCTCTGTGAAATTGGGGTTCTCCCATTTCACAAATGGAGCAACTGAAACTCAGGGAGTTAGATGAGCTCACAATGCCTGTAAATCAGAGAAACTGGATCAGAATTCCAAGCCCAGTGCTTTGTCTAGCCTGTGCTAAATGATGACCAAGATCTGAGGAGTCTCCTGGCATGAACATAAATGGGTGAATGATGCAGGTCTCGGTGATTTCTAAGCCTGTATTATTTCCATTCTGAAAGAATATTCCTTCCATTCCACTATGAAGATCAGTGGGAACAAAAAATGCAATACCCACTCAAATGATTTATGCCCTAGGAATTTTCCAGGATTTGGGATGCTGGATTGTGGGAAGTAGCTTAATGGCATGATCCCAGATATTGTGACCCAAGAAACTGTTGGTTACC